GGGGTTGAGCTCTGGCTCTTTGGAGTCAGAGCTCCAAAGGTTGGAGCCTGGCCAGAGCCAGGTTGAACCTCTCAACCGTCAACAGGTGTACAGGTTCCTGAGCCTCTTGGGCTCTGTCCTGTCTACATTTGAAACTGTGTATGGTGGCAGCCTCCACCACATTACTTCCTAGTACATTCCATTTGTCAACCACTCATACTAAAAAAGTTCTTTCTGATATCTCTGTGGCTCTTTTGGGCACTCAGTTTCCACCTGTGTCCCCTAGTGCGTGTGCCCCTTGTGTTACATAGCCTGTCTTTATCAACCCTGCCGATTCCCTTGGGAATCTTGAATGTGGTGATCAGGTCCCCCCTCACTCTTCTGTCTTCCAGCGAAGTGTGGTTTAATTCCCGTAGTCTCTCCTCCTGAATTGTGTGTGTGTACGCATGTACATGTGTTCACTGTGTGTGTGTGTGTACTTGTGTATACGCACGTGTGTGTCACATATCTTGTGTGTGTATGTGTATATGTGTGTGTACTTTTTCTTTCAGAAGGGGTTCTGTTCCCTTCTCTGTAGACTGGGCGCTGGGGGAGCAGCTTGCTCTGTTGCCTCTCGCATGGTCCCGCTGTTGGTGGGCGCTTTGGGTTGTCTTCCGGCCTCTGGTGGCGTCGGTCGATGGCTTCTTCCCCTTTGGGGGGGTTCAGCGCTGGCGGGGTGGGCTTTTTTCCCTGCGCTTCGTCATGTCATCTTAGTGGGTGTGTTGGACGTGGTCGTTCCGCCCCATCCTTCTGGGGTTCCCATCTGCTCTTTGCAGTCATGAGCTTTTCCCATCTGCAGTTCTTCTGGACTTCTTCAGTCTGCGCCCTGGCTCCTATGCCCTCCTCGGAGGACTGTTGTCTCCTGTCCGGCTTCTGTTGGGGCCGGGTGCCTGGATGGTGGTCTTGGTCCTCCAGGTCACTTCTTGGCATGTTCCTCTCCAGTTTTCTGGGACTGACAGTTGGTGGTGGGGCTTCAGGTTTGCTGCTTTTCTTGCCTTCCCTATTTGGTAATGGGCACTTCGTATAATTTTTGCATCCTTACCGGATCTTAGTGCCCTGTCTGCGTCTGAGATTCGGTGTCTGGTCTACCTCGACGACTGGCTGGTGTGGGCTCCCAGTCAGTCCGCTTGTCTGCTCGCCAGGGGTACGGTTCCTTCTAGATCGCCGGGTTTGGTTTCCTGGTGATCTAGAGGCTTTTCCATCTGTTTCCGTCCCGGGTTCGGACCTGGGCCTTGTTTAGGGCTATTGGGCCACTCATTGTCTTTCCCTCCAGAAGTGTTACTGCAGCTGTAGTCCCGCCTTCGGCTGTGCATGAGGGGGTTCCGGGTTGCTCAGTGGTTGCTCGAGCGGTTGTGCGGGAGTCTGAACTTTGGCGTGCTGGTCTGCCCGCGGAGTCGGGTTTGGCTTCGGCGTCTGTTGGTTCCTTCGGAGACTCCCCTTCCGCCTCTTGCATTCGTTGGGTTCGTTCCTCCGGGGATCTTGTGTTGGTGCTGCATCACCAACTTCCTCTTTGGGGTTTTCGGGGTTCCGTGCCTTGGCATCTCCCTGAGCCTTCGCTCGATGTTTTCACGGACGGGTCATCTCTCGGCTGGGGCTTTGTGTCCAGTGCTCACCAGGTCGGCCGAGGTTCGAGGAGTCTGTCCGTCCGTCAGGCTCACAGCACCACAGCACGGTTCGGGAGTTCGTGGCTGTCTGGTTTCCGCTTCGGAGGGTTTGGGTCACTTGGTGCTCTGCCTTTCAGCTCTGTTTGGACTGTTCTCTGGCGGTTCTTGCCAGAACCACGGGGATTTGGCTAACCGTGAGGTTCATGTCTGGGGTGTGTCCTGCGTCCTGGCGGACAGCTGTCTCAGTTCATTCCTCTCCGCGGATTGGCCAGTCGTCGCCGACTCATTTTGTTGGCTCTGTCGGACGTATGGACTCCTGGCCATGAACGTCTTCGAGTCAGCGTGGTCTAGGCGTCTCCCATTTTATGTGGCGCCCTTTCCCACCAGTGAGGCATTCACGGTGGATGCTTTTCGGCAGGACTGGTCGAGGTGGGTACCTTGTTCCTCTTCTCCCGGTCCAGCTGTTGCTTGGGGTTCTGGCTCGGTTGCAGCCTACTCCCACGAGAGTAGTCCTTATGGTTCCTTGGTGGCCGGCCCAGCCTTATTTTCAGACGCTGCTTGATAGGTGCCCGAACCCGGGGCGTTTTCCAGTGACTCCGCCTCTTTCGGCAGGTCGAATTGGTCCTGTACGTGACTGGTTCGGCCTTCTCATCAGCTCTTCGCGTCTGGTATTTTGACTCGGGTTTCACCATCTCTATGGTGTTCTGGTGGCTTTGTTGACGGTGTCCCACCTGCGAGCTTCGTCTTGGCGTCAGTATGACGTTTTGTACGCTTTCTCATGTTTTGTTTCACCTCCGGCCTGCTCATGCGTCACCTGAGCCGTCCTGGTCCTTGATCAGGGTGCCTTCTTATCTTCTCCTCAGCTTGTGGTAGCCCCTTCGGTTCAGGTTTCTGCTCTTTGGTACTGGTGGTAGATTTGTATGTGTGCAGCCTTTCTCCGTCCTGGCGACGGTCGAGTCGGCTGCTTTCCGGAGGGGTTCTTGGGGTATTGATGCTTGATTGGTTTGGCCGGGGGTGTGTCCTGTGTTGTCCAGTTGTGTTTTTTGCCGTTGCTGGCATACCGTGTCTGGGGATGCGCTGTGGTTGATCCGGTTCCCCTCGTTCCCCATTTTCAGGGCTCGGGTCTCCCAGGTCGTCTGCAGATTTTTCATTCTTCCAGCCTGCGGTCTGTCTTTGCGCCCGTGCTGATCAGACGTTTGCAGCTTTTGCTGCTGTGTTGGGACGTCTAGGGCTCATTTCGGGCGCAGGGATTTGATAGTCGCACGGGTTCTTGGCCGCCCATTCTTTGTGCGTCTGCTCCTGTGCGTTCTTGTTGCCTTGGGTCGCAGGTTGCAACCTGTTGTCTCGGCTTTGCGTTGCAGAGTTTGTGGCGGCCGCCTCCCGGGTTAGCCCTTTCTTTTCCTTCTCTTTGGGTATGAAGCTCCAGGGAACCGTAGGGGCTCCCCACAGAAAACCAGCATTGAATGAAATGAAACGCCATTTTCTGGGTGAGCCCCGGAGGCTCCCTGGCAACCCTCCCTCCCACCGGTCGGCGGTTTTTTGCGTTGGTTGAAGCTTAGCTTCCGAACTGAAGCTTGGCAGCCGGCGCGGTAGGTCCGGGGCTTCCCCCTCCCCCTCTCGGGGCGGGGAGGGCTGTGCGGACGATCGGCGCGGCAGTAAAGTGTGATGTTTCCTTGTGATTGTAGGGAGTTTCTACCTCTCTGTTTGGTTTTTGGTTTAGTTTTTTTGTTTTTTTTTACCATGTGGGGTTTGTTTTGTAATGCCTACCTTTCTGGGTGCCTAACCCCAGTCGATGGTAGATAAGGAAAACCCCAACCACAAAGGGGTTTTCCAGGGCCATTGCTCCCTGAAACCTTTCTGAAGGGGCCAGGTTCTGGCGCTGGTCCCTGGTAGGTCTGAACTCCTAAGCTAATGTCCCGGTCTAATATAACATACATTAGCCCGATAAGCTCCAGGGAGCCGTAGGGGCTCACCCAGAAAATGGCGTTTCAATACATTCAACGCTGGTTTTTTGGGTAGTGGCAGGGGGGGCAAAGTCTCTGCCTCCTGCGCAGTTGTCTTCAGGGTTCAATCCTCAGACTAGGAAAGACCTGCAATCCCTCCACCTACTCCAATTGGTGACCCCATTCCTTGGTGATCTTGTTCTATGTAGAATCCTTTACAATCCTTCATCTAGTGTCCTTCAGACGACCAAAGTTACATTTGCACACTCTTTGATTCATGAGGAACTGATGTGGTACCATGCGACCCCAGGGTGGAGCATAGCATTGCAATGGATCTCATCACATGTTGGAATTTCTGAGAATGTGCTGGCAGATGTAGCAGTGAAGATTACACACAGAATGGCATTACCCACATGCCACCAAATCTGTCAGTAGTCCTACAGTCAACTGGGATGACCTGTTATATGTGTTGGGAAGTGGAGCTGGACCCACTTCTAATCGCCCATGGGTCCAACATAGTATTAAATTCTTAGACTGAGCCCTCACATTCCTCGGAGTTGGACACTCCTTTCTCACTGAACATCTCCAACTGATTTTCCCTACAATCAGTGGTGTCCTCACCAAGTACATACCATAGATCTTCTTTACTGCCTGAGGTTTTACATCTCACATACAAGACACCCGTGTGCTCTCAAGCATTTACAAATATTCTGAATCACCTCTTCTGTTTTCTTAGATGTAAGATTCTTCACCGCACTTTCTGCTTCATTACACATGGCCCCTGTCTACAGAAGAACCTCAACTTCTTTTTATTTTTTAAATCTCCCAGACATGGGTAGTTGAGGCACATGTGAACCATGGGTCATCATCACTGTTAAATTAACAACAACAGTGCTAAAATGTATGGAAAATGAGCATGGGAAAAATAAACAATTATAGAGGAATGTGAAATTACTGTCTAAAAATAATGTGTTGTTTAATACTTTAATATATGGTAGACCCTTTAGGTGGCTGAAATTTTGTACTACAATAGGGAAAAAGATTAAAAGTAGAGAAAAGTAAAATGATTCTGTGTAATATTGTGTATCTTTCGGATATGACCGAGGTAAACTACTTTACCACACAAAGCGGTGAATTTATTATTGTGGTGTATGCAAATTTGGGAATAGCAATCTTGGCATATCAAAAGTCACATGACATGGCTCCATAACTAATGAGTATAAATGCACATTTAAAATTATTGTTGACATAATTCACAGTAGCATGGCTGAAAGTTAGATGCCCAACATACAAATCTGAAAATAAAGTGATGATGTTTGGGTCTGTTCTGGACCATTATCAAGTTGTCACATCCTTGATCAGATTTTATCAAGTCGTCACATCCTTGATCAGATTTTTGGGTTGGATGTCGAAAATCATTTGGATTTTATTGCAGGAATGTCGTGGGCGAGAATATCGGGTACACGTTAGTTATATGGTCGTACAGAGGGATGCAGTATATGACTTGCTCTCTACCTCAAACACCCACATGCAGCTCAATGTCCTTGAAGATAATATGGTAAGTTATACTCTTGGGAGTTTGCAGACCGTTTCACTAGCTATAAAAGCTATTTATTCAGTGGCAAATTCAGGTCTGTTTTAATAGTTGGTGTATAACCCCCCCCCTAGCCAAACTTCTCAATATGTTTCAAATAGCATTTTCACTTTATTTTACTTACCTAACTTATAGCAAAATATGTTTATAACAAATTGATCTTTAATTCCGCACATCAGTTCTTGAGCCTCTGGGGCCCAGGAACTTCTGTCTAGTTGTTTGACTATACCATGGCACCAGTGCCTAGTATATCTTCCTGTCTGTCTAATGTTTCCTGTGCCTAGTATCTTCCTGCCTGTCTATGTTTCCTTCCTGTATATCTTCCTGCCTGTCTAATGTTTCCTGTGACACCAAGGCCTAGTATATCTTCCTGCCTGTCTAATGTTTCCTGTGACACCAGGGTCTAGTATATCTTCCTGCCTGTCTAATGTTTCCTGTGACACCAAGGCCTAGTATATCTTCCTGCCTGTCTAATGTTTCCTGTGACACCAGGGTCTAGTATATCTTCCTGCCTGTCTAATGTTTCCTGTGACACCAAGGCCTAGTATATCTTCCTGCCTGTCAATGTTTCCTATGATACCCTAGTATATATCTTCCTGTATATCTTCCTGTCTGTCTAATGTTTCCTGTGACACCAGGGTCTAGTATATCTTCCTGCCTGTCTAATGTTTCCTGTGACACCAAGGCCTAGTATATCTTCCTGCCTGTCTAATGTTTCCTATGATACCAGGGTCTAGTATATCTTCCTGCCTGTCTAATGTTTCCTGTGACACCAGGGTCTAGTATATCTTCCTGTCTGTCTAATGTTTCCTGTGACACCAGGGTCTAGTATATCTTCCTGCCTGTCTAATGTTTCCTGTGACACCAAGGCCTAGTATATCTACCTGCCTGTCTAATGTTTCCTGTGACACCAAGGCCTAGTATATCTACCTGCCTGTCTAATGTTTCCTATGACACCAGGGTCTAGTATACATTCATGTTTAACCATGCATAATTTTAATCATGAGACACAGTGGGTGCTTACCTTAAGGAACAAGCAAATGACTGCCATTTTAGTGCATTCTAAGACCACAGATTGTATTTCTGTGGGGAGCCCCTTCTGCTCCCTGGAGCTATCGGGATAGCAGTTCATTAGACCAGGGTATTAGTCAAAGGAGTTCAGACTACCGGGAACCACGAGCCAGAAATGGCCCCCTCAGAGAGGCACAGGGAGCAATGACCCTGGAAAACCCTCCTGTGGTTGGGTTTTTTTCTTATCTGACATCGACCGGGGTTAAGCACCCAGTAAGGTAGGCATAACAAAACAGACCTCGCATGTAAGAAATGGCAGAACAGAACAGAAATGGCAGAAGTTTCCAGAAAATGGAAACTCTGTTCGGTTTTCGCTGCAATTTTCTTACCATGTGGGGTCTGTTTTGTTATGCCTACCTTTCTGGGTGCCTTATTCCGGTTGATGTCAGATAAGGGAAACCCCAACCACAGGGGGGGGTTTTCCAGGGCCATTGCTCTCTCTACCTCTCTAAGGGGGCCAGGTTCTGGCTCGTGATCCCCGGTAGGCTGAACTCCTTTGACTAATGCCCCAGTCTAATGAATTGCATATTTAGCCCGATAGCTCCAGGGAGCCTCTGGGGCTCACTCAGAAAATGGTGTTTTATTAAATTCAATGCTGGTTTTTTAGATCTCAGTGGAATACACCATCTAACAAAATCAGTAATGGACAATAATACAGTACTTTGTCACTTGATTAATATTACTATCATACTGTGAGAATTAATACATATACTATTTTTTATAATAGGGTAATGTAGTGATCCCTGGCCTAAATGTCGTTGACTGTAGTAATATAACTGAAGTCATAAACTGCCTAGAAGCTGGCCTTGTACACCGCCACACTACAGCTATCCAGAGCCACGATCCCTCAAGCTCACATGCAATCTTCTCTCTTATTTTGGAACATCAGTGGAATGATCCAGGTAAGTGTGCATTATTTGGTTTTTACCTATATGGTTTATCTCATACTAACCTCTTTCTAGGGGTGGGGGGTGGGGGTGCCCCTTTTGGTCCTCTGGTGCTGTCTTGCTGAGATTGCACCAAACTATTACTAGTTCACATCGGTCACAGAGTTCTGCTTGGCCTACTGGGGATCAGAACCAAAACCTGGCTTTCTTCAGAGGCACAGAAAGTGAGTGACATTCCACCTTTCCCCTGGAAAAGTATCCAGAAAGTCAACGAAGCATTACTGACGCGGCCTGTCCTCAGACTAAGTTTTCATTCCATCCAGCGGTCGATCCCCAAAGACGCATTCATGAATTTTAACATGCTGTTCATTCACAATAGGAATTTTCTCAAATATAAATTATATTATTATATATTTTCCCCGTGTTTCAGATGGAAAACTGAACTACCTATATTCTCGCATGAATTTTGTCGACTTGGGAGGCTCTGAACGGCTGATGCAGTTTGGATATGGTGGTTTTAGTCTTCCCAGTCAAGAGTCATTTTTTCCTAATTCTGATCTGAAAGCTCTAAGCAATGTCATCCATTGCTTAGCAGACCAATCTTATGTGGGTCCAGTTCCTTACAAGGAGTCAAGACTTACTCATATATTAAAGGTATGATCTTCCCATTTGTTTATTGTTTATTTGGAGATATGGTGTATATAACATACATGTTATTAGAAGGTGTTATGATCAGTTTATTCAAGCTCCATACACATGTTCCACTCTATTATGGTGTTGAATATGTCCATCTCTGTACACATGTTCCACTCTATATTAAGTGATTAATATGTCCAAGCTCTGTGTATATACAGTATTCCACATACATATTTTGATGTTGAATGTGTCAAAGTACATATTTACCTGAGTTTACCTGAGAGCCACTAACCCTACTGGGCTTGACGAGGATAGGCCCCAACCTAATATAGTACATATCAGTCTGAATATCTTCAGGGAGCCTCCCGGGCTACCCCCCCCCCCCCCCCGAAAAAGACGTTTCATTATATTCAACACTGGGTTTTTGGGAAGACTTCAAATTTCTTCGCACCACCAGAATGTCACAATAAAAGCTGCACACCGCGGAGATTAATATGTCCGAGCTCTGTATATATGTTCCACTCCGTATTATAAAAATTATATGGACTGTGCTTAATTCTTTGTTTCATTAAATTCTATATTGGGTTTTTAGTGAACTGATTGCACATTCATAAGTTTACCTAGGCAATATCTATGCTTTCATCTCTCTTGTTGCTCTCTGGTTTATGAAGCAAATAATTAATAGCTACAATAGCTAAATCAGTATTCAAAATTGTTCTCTAAATGTTCAAGGTATTAATGTTTAGAATTGCAATGAGAATTATGATGCTAATTCATGATTGTGATAATGTTGAAAATGGATTGAGAAATGTAGAAAATTAATAAAGCATCCAGGAGGCCTGGTCGTCGACCGGGCCGCGGGGACACTAAGCCCCGGAAGCACCTCAAGGTAGCCTACTGTACATTATTAGACTAATCCACATCTGTTTCTTCAGGATGCTTTTGGGGGCAACAGCTTAAGTTTGATGGTGTGTTGTGTGTCTCCATCACCTGAAGATTTTGATGCCACTTTCAATACCCTCAAATATGGAGGTTTGGCACGTTATATCCTTAATTGTCCTGCAGTCAACATGGCCATTCAAAACAGTGCTCGGGATTCTACCACCACAACAACCCCATGTTCTGCCCAAACAAACTTAAGGGTAAATTTTATATGCCTTTGATCTCTTGTTATACAAAACATTACTTATGGAAAATAATGTGAGACATTAATGTGGTATGAATGTGAATAGTAAAGAATTAAACCAGTAGAAATTGGAAAATCTGAGAAACATGCATCTTGTTTGGAGAATAATGATATCATTATAAAGAATGTGTGAATATCATTGTAAAAGTGTGTGTAAAAGTGAATAAATTGCTAGTTTAAGAAGTGTGTACTGAAATGATTTGTGTATGTTGAACAAATGGATGGTGGCAAATTGGTGAGAAATGTGTATTCAAGGATGAATACAGGATGGGAAGAGAGTAGAGATGGGAAGAAAATGTGCAGACCTAGTGAGTATATTTAGGAAGCTTTGAAGTTTGAATGTGAAAACACACACTGAATATTGTAACACACATTTTATAAGGAGGGAATGAATGCTTTGGAGAATTCACGGGTAGCTCTATACACTTGGTCTTACGAATCTGTTTGGGTTCTGTGGGGGATGACTGCTAGGGTGTGGTGGGACTTATCAGATGCTATGTAGTGTGTATGAAATAATGAATAGAAGATGTATAGTTTTTAATAACTTCTGCATTCTTTCATATTTTTTTTTAAATATATACAAGAGTTGTTACATTCTTGTACAGCCACTAGTACGCATAGCGTTTCTGGCAGGTCCCTGGAATACGATCCCCACTGCGAAGAATCATTGTTACAACCAAGTACCCATTTTACTGTTGAGTTAAACAGAAGCTACAGTTAAGGATTTGCGCCCAGTAAATCCTCCCCGGCCAGGATACGAACCCATGGCAAAGCGCTCGCGGAACGCCAGGCGAGTGTCTTACCACTACACCACGGGGACTGGTGGTAAGGGGACTCACCACGGGGACTGGCTCATATATTGCTGACCTTTTTCTTTTGGGCTGTGCCTTTTGACTCCATGAAATTGGGAAATGATGACGATGAAATATTTCTCATTTAAAGAATAAGGCATAAAATATGAACCTTAAAATAGCAAATTTTGTGTATTTCAGCATCAGTCAGGCAGTCGGCAGTCTACACTGACAGGTATGCAGAGTAGTGTGCAGCAGTCGCTGGGGACGGTCCAACAGTCAACAGTGACAAACGACACTTCTCTTGTAGCCTTAGACGATACAGGGTCACTTGATACTGAGGACCTCTTCAAGTAAGCTTCTTTTGTACATTAATAGTGTATTATTTTGAGAATGTGAGTTTTAGATAATAGCTAAATGGCTCCATTTGTGTCTGTATACATTAACTAGATTCCAGAAGCAGTTGTGGTAAGAGAAGTAAACTTGCTGTGTAGGTTAAAATCCCAACCTGCTTCATACATACCAATCTCTTTACTATCATGCCTCATTAAAGTCACAGAAAGACCTATACATACTCGCCTCCAGTGGTACCTGGAGCATAATAATAATATACCGTCATTTCAAGCTGGATTTCGACCATAGTGCTCTACACTTGATCTAATATTCTGCCTTGAACATGAAATCTGCACCTCTTAGAAGCAGGAAATTTGGTATTGTTCTCTACCTAGACCTTAAAGGAGCTTTTGATTGCTTTCCTCATACTTGCCTCTTGACAAAGCTTGCATGTTTACGCGTAAAGGGAAGACTTCTTCTATGGCTACAGTACTGTCTTACAAGCAGGACCTCCAAAGTCTATATACAAGGCGGGTTTTCAGATAGCATTCCAATTTGAACGGGTGTCCCACAAAGCTCCATTCTAAGTCCAACCCCTTTTGCTGCCTTTTTAGCTGATATACCAACACCTGCCCCGTACACCTCTCGGTGTACACTGACGATATAACTTTGTATTATTCAGACAATGCCCTACCTAATGCAGTCTCAAAATGCAAACAGCACTTGATAACCTTGTTGCTTGGACACAACAATGGGGCCTCCAACTTAGTACTGTACTACTAAAACCTGTTTTCAGATCTTCACTAAAAAAGGACTTGTTCATCTACCCATCCTCACAATACACAACACTCATAAGAACATAAGAACATAAGAACAAAGGTAACTGCAGAAGGCCTATTGGCCCATACGAGGCAGCTCCTATTCTATAACCACCCAATCCCACTCATATACTTGTCCAACCCGTGCTTGAAACAATCGAGGGACCCCACCTCCACAATGTTACGCGGCAATTGGTTCCACAAATCAACAACCCTGTTACTGAACCAGTATTTACCCAAGTCTTTCCTAAATCTAAACTTATCCAATTTATATCCATTGTTTCGTGTTCTGTCCTGTGTTGATACTTTTAATACCCTATTAATATCCCCCCGGTTATGTCCATTCATCCACTTGTAAACCTCTATCATGTCACCCCTAACTCTTCGCCTTTCCAGTGAATGCAACTTAAGCTTTGTTAATCTTTCTTCATATGAAAGATTTCTAATTTGGGGAATTAACTTAGTCATCCTACGCTGGACACGTTCAAGTGAATTTATATCCATTCTATAATATGGCGACCAAAACTGAACTGCATAATCTAAATGGGGCCTAACTAGAGCAAGATATAGCTTGAGAACCACACCAGGTGTATTGTTACTAACGCTGCGATTAATAAATCCAAGTATCCGATTTGCCTTATTACGAACATTTATGCATTGATCCTTTTGTTTTAAATTCTTACTAATCATAACTCCCAGATCCCTTTCGCAATCCGACTTCGCAATCACAACACCATCTAGCTCGTATCTTGTAACTCTATCATCATTACCTAACCTCAGAACTTTACATTTATCAGCATTAAACTGCATCTGCCAATCCTTTGACCATTTCAAAACCCTATCTAGATCAACTTGAAGTGATAGTGAGTCCTCCTCCGAATTAATTTCCCTACCGATTTTCGTATCATCGGCAAATTTGCAAATGTTGCTACTCAAACCTGAATCTAAATCATTTATATATATTATAAACAACAGAGGTCCCAGGACAGAGCCTTGAGGCACTCCACTTACAACATTTTCCCACTCTGACTTGATTCCATTTATACTAACTCTCTGTTTCCTTTGGTATAGCCATGCCCTAATCCAGCTTAATATAGCACCCCCAATACCATGAGACTCTATTTTTTTAATCAGTCTTTCATGTGGCACTGTATCAAAAGCTTTGCTAAAGTCAAGGTATACAACATCGCAATCCTTACCACTATCAACTGCCTCAACAATGCTAGAATAAAAAGATAACAAATTTGTTAAACATGAACGGCCATTTATAAAACCATGTTGCGACTCAATTATTAATTATTATCCAACATGTACGAGAACATAAATACCTTGGCATGCACTTTGACTCGCCCTTACTTACCTGTAAAGCACACATTCAACATCTTAAACAGATGACTCGATCACGATTCACCATACTGAGGCTGAGGAGCCCTCACTGGTACCACCTAAGGAGCACACCATAAAATTGTTTCATTTCTATACAACCTACATTTGCAGCCAACTAGACTATTGCTGCCAGGCATATGCGTTGGCTGCGCCTACTAACCTACAGAGCCTTGATTTCATTCAAAACAATGCCATGCGACTTATATGTGGCGCAACACGTTCCAATCCTATCCTGGGCCGTCAGGGGGAAATGGGCCTCACAAGCTTAGCCACCAGACGAGACATAACGTGTGCCATCTATCTGTCATCCTGTACCACTGCTCATCCGACACACCCATACAGATAAAAATTAACCCAACAGTTAGCCCACATAACCCCCGCTTCCCCACCAATCGCTCACAACCTTTCCTTACACAAGCTACAAATAACCTCAATATAGACCTCACTTTACTCCAAATCTCTGAAACCCAACTTACTGTTCCTTCTATTTCACCTTGGCTTTATACAACTCCTAAGACATCAATACAACTGGAAGACAACATTCCAAAGTCTACATCAAACTCAACCACAGCCTCAGTCTTTGTGTCAAGAATGAAAAATTACTACCCAAATACCACAGAGATTTACGTAAATGGATCTCGCATCCTCATGAACAGCACACCCTTGGTCACTAGCGCTGTATGGATCCCACAATACCATCTCAAGCAGGGATGGCAGTTACCAAACCAACTATCTATTTTCACAGCTGGATTATATGCCTTATACCAAGCTCTCCAAATAATCACAACATTACCAGTTGGGATATATACAATCTGTAGTGACTCCAAGAGTGCGTTTCCAGCAGTTACGTACTCTTCAACAACGTGCTAAGAGTTTGTCTACCCATGCCTTCAACTTCTTCATCAACATCAATTGAATGGTTATGACATTTCTAGCCAATGGATCCCAACGCATTGTGGTATGCTCCATAATGAACCTGTAGATCAACTAGCAAAAGCGATGCACGAAACACCTTACATTACTCGTCATCCAAATCCTCATGTTGCACGTAAAGGATCCTTTAAAAGATACCATCACCAAAGATTTTGTAACAAAATGGAAAACGTCATGCTTACCTTTGTACTATGGGTACATAAACAAAAATGGGAAAACTTGGAAACATGTCATATATAAAAGCAGAGAAATTGATGTAACAATGATCAGATTAAGGCTGGGATACACTAACGTGGCAGCACACAGCTCTAAATACAGAACAGACATTAAAGAACTCTGCATCTACTGTCAGGAGCCTGAAAAAATCGAACACTACCTCCTTCGCTGTTTCCGAGATCATAGTGCCAGAGTAAACTTAAAACAAGTCCTTATCGCACTTAACCCCTTAACTGCGTTGCCTCCAAATGTGACACCCCCGCAGTGCGCAGGAAATAAATTCTCTGGAAAAAATTCTTTTTTCTTTTTAAAGTGTCAAAAACCCTTCCCTCAGTATGGGTATGTAAAAAAAAAGTCGAAATTGTACTTACTTTGGCTGCTATGGGGTCCGGAAGTTGGGGTGTGACGTCATCATTCCCCGTGCGCCCGTGCCGTAAGCTCTCGGGGGCGGTGGGGCGCTCGGGGCGGGGCGCGCAAGTTGCCGCAAATATATTTTCGTTCATTTTTTGCGCACCTTTCCAAATACATTTTCATTGTTTTTATGTGCCAATCCAATGTATAATGAACACGTACACTATAATATCGCAGTATAACATCCGTACTGTCCGTAGACACTGTGTTACGTGCATGAAACTTGTGTACACATATGCAGCACATATTTACTATGTATCATGCTAATTTGTGTATATATACAATCTATTTACACACTATACACTGTCACACACTATATACATTCACCATCAACACATTCAGAACACTGTGTAGCAGCTGCTTCGTATGGGCCAATAACAGCTGCCTCGTATGGGCCAATATCAGCTGCCTCGTATGGGCCAATATCAGCTGCCCCGTATGGGCCAATAGCAGCTGCCCCGTATGGGCCAATAGCAGCTGCCCTGTATGGGCCAATAGCAGCTGCCCCGTATGGGCCAATAGCAGCTGCCCCGTATGGGCCAATAGCAGCTGCCCCGTATGGGCCAATAGCAGCTGCCCCGTATGGGCCAATAGCAGCTGCCCCGTATGGGCCAATAGCAGCTGCCCCGTATGGGCCAATAGCAGCTGCCCCGTATGGGCCAATAGCAGCTGCCTCGTATGGGCCAATAGCAGCTGCCCCGTATGGGCCAATAGCAGCTGCCCCGTATGGGCCAATAGCAGCTGCCCCGTATGGGCCAATAGCAGCTGCCTCGTATGGGCCAATAGCAGCTGCCTCGTATGGGCCAACAGCAGCTGCCTCGTATGGGCCAACAGCAGTTGCCTCGTATGGGCCAACAGCAGTTGCCTCGTATGGGCCAATAGCAGCTGCCTCGTATGGGCCAATAGGAGCTGCCTCGTATGGGCCAATAGCAGCTGCCTCGTATGGGCCAATAGCAGCTGCCTCGTATGGGCCAATAGCAGCTGCCTCGTATGGGTCAATAGGAGCATTTGGCCATGAACACATTCACAACACCTCGAGTGAGAGCAGCCACACCCAGCCAGTCTCCCTCACTCCAACATCTTACTCGCCAACATTGCTCCTCCCACCATATTGTTATAGTTCTTATTACACATGTTCTATATACCTATCTACATGTTTTATTTACCAGAACTATGCAAGTAAGCCCGTATTGTGTCCAAACAATACAGTGGCCACCATACACTGCATGAAAAATCACACAGCAGACGACGCTACG